TGGGATGTTCCCCCTTCTACGAACAGTCCTGGATAGGGGTTTTTCCTAACAGTCCTTGATAGGGATTTTAGTCCCCCCCAGTCATAATCCCTGTTAAGGACTGTTCGTAGAAGGGGGAACATCCCCAAAACCCTAAACCCTAAACCCTAAACCCTAAACCCTAAACCCTAAACCCTAAACCCTAAACCTCACATGACTCACATGTTCATGGACTAAGATTGCAACCGACAGCCGACCCATGAACTGCTCCTTTGTGAAGGTTCGGCCATCAGGTGCCATTGTCCCCATACGGGCCTCAGATGTGCTACTATCTTAGGGTTTAGGGTTTAGGGTTTTGGGGTTTTTGGGTTTAGGGTGTAGGGTTTGGGGTTTAGAGTTTAGGGTTTAGGGTTTAGGGGAAGTTTGGCGCGGAGATGCCTAGACTTTACCATTCAGGGGCGTTCGGCATTTAGTTCAGCTGCAACGGGAGCGCCTTGTTTACTCGAGCTTTGCGTGGCCACTTCACATCATGCCAGATCGGCTCTAAAATAACATAAACAGCCCAGTGCCCATGCAAGGTAGCCGTTTCGTTTCTCTGCTGTTCGCTGCACACAAGAAAACCCAACAAAAAGGCAGAAAAAAGAGGAAACTCGAAAGAAAGCCTAAATCGTAAGCCCTAAACCCTAAGTCCTAAACCCTGTGTTGGAGACCCTTTGGACCTGTTGCCTTTGTTTCTGTGCCTTTGGAACCTGGGACTACGTTTCAGTATATCCAAAGCTAGCAAAGAAGCTCGGGCTGCAAGATCGCCGCGCAGGGGGTTGTCCTATCTTAGGGACCGCACGTGTATCTGTGTGTGTGCATATGAATGTGAATGTAAAACCGTATAATATATATAGTATATGTGTGTTGATACATACATATATATGTATAGACATATATGTACATACAGACATGTGTATATACATATATATATATATATATATATACATCTATATATATATATATATATACATAGAGTTTCCATCTTCGCAACTGACAGGGCCATAGGTGTATACATGGACTCCTTGCAGCAAGAACCCTGAAGCTTCTTATTTTGGGATGTTCCCCCTTATACCAACAGCCCGTAATAGGAAGAAGACTAGGGGGCACTCGAATCCATTTAACGAGCTGTTAGTATAAGGGGGAACATCACAACTCTGACCCTGAACATGCTCAAAGCCCCTACACCCTAGTTGAAGGGCCGTGGATACTTGCAGGTAGGGCCGAGGCGATTGTCTTTACAATCACGAGTAAACCAGCCATGGAACTTCTGGTACATGCCCTGAACTACTGTTTGCTTAAGAGCCCCCCCCAACAAAAACAAACAAATACACATTTCTATATATATATATATGTATATATATATATATGTACTAAGAACCCCTACATTTCCCTCATAAGGCAGAATACTCTCATTCTTTGGGGGGGGGAGATTCGTCATCTAATAGTTGCAAAACCTCCAAGGTGCCCAATGGCGTGCCATTGTCCATCTTCGATGAACGACTACCACCTTCTTAATCCTGGTAGCCCAGTGACCATATTATAATAAGGGCACCTTTTTTTGGGTTGGTTACTTTGTAAGGGAACCTGAAACCAAACAAAGGGAAAAGGGCACCACTGGGTTACCAAGTAATCTAGGGGCCTGAATAATCAGAATACGCTTTTAGGGGCCTGAATAATCAGAATACGCTTTTCGGGGTTATTCTGGTATACTTACAAAGGAACCACAAAGGAATATTACTACGACTTATATTAATCTAATAGTAGCAACAGAAGACGAGGCGCAGTTTCCGGATGGAACCGGTGCCATCTCCCAAAAGCTGGTGCCTGCAATCCGCCCACCGTCTTCTCACAAAGGGGGCTTTGCGCAGGGTGTAGGTTTACGGCTTTGGGCTTTTTACAGTTTAGGGCTTAGGGTTTAGGGGTTAGGGTTCAGGGTTGATTTGTTTGTGGCCCATGCGAATGATGTAGGGGGCCGTTTACTAAGTTGTGTAAACCCAAACCCTGATCCTGAAAACATGAAAACAACAAAAACGACAAACAGCGAAGAACCAATAAGACCGAGGCCTACAAGCGGCCCTACAGCCAGAAAGATTGGGTTTAGGGTTTAGGGTTGAGGGTTGAGGGTTGAGGGTTGAGGGTTGAGGGTTCAGGGTTTAGGGTTCAGGGTTTAGGGTGAAGGTCCTACGCAGGAAGATTCATTTGTACTAAAAACTGGGGTTATGAGCACGGCAGCTACGAGTAGAATTCGCTATAGCTTACTTTAGGGTGCGTCTCAGCCTGTTTAAGACTTACTTACCACTACCCGTGGACGCCCATAAGTCCGAAACCCTAAACTCTAAACCCCTCGCCTCGCGGGGGCCCCTCACCCAAGTAAAGACCTAAAGCTTGCAACCACGACTGCGCGCCTTTCAAACGTCCAAACTGTGGCTCCCCAAGGGTTCTGCGTCGTTTTGGAGCTTTCGGGGCTGTTCCCTAAACCCCAAACCCTAAACCCTAAACCCTAACCCCTAAACCCTAAACCCTACACCCTCCCAAAACCCTAAACCCTTTCTTTCGGGAACCTGAGGTGAGGCAGCCATGGATCTACGCTTTCAGGGCTTTGGGATTCTTATCTACTATTTGCTTAAGAACTCCGCCCCCCCCCCCCCCCCCCCCCCCGCCCCCCCAAAAAAAATAAAAAAGTAAGAATCCTTATATTGCCCTTAACAAGGAAGACCATTTCTATGATTTGGGGGGGGGGGGGGTTCTTAAGCAATACCCTAAACCCTAAACCCTAAACCCTAAACCCTAAACCCTGAACCCTAAACCCTAAACCGTTATACGGTGGGTCCCCGAAGCCGCATTCATCTGCCGGGCCTGTGCCACGTCGCGAGGCCTTGAGGACTCAAGCACCGGCACGGAGGCGTCGACTTGACCCTGGTTCAGGGTTTAGGGTTTAGGGTTTAGGGTTTAGGGTTTAGGGTTTAGGGTTCAGGGTTCAGGGTTTAGTGTCTTAGGGTTTAGGGTTTTGGGGTTTGAGGGTTTGAGGTTTAGGGTTGTTAAGGCTTTGGGTATAGCGTTTCAAACCAAACCCCTACTGAGCACTAGAGGGCACCTGGCGCCTGAAGCACTGAGGTTTGGTGGTTGGGAGCTTCTTAGAGGTTCATGGGTCGTTATAAGTGGGGCTATAAGTAGGGCGACTATGATTAGAACTAGCTATAACCTTGTTTAGGGTACTTAGAACCCCATAGCTAACCATGAACCTCCAAGTTGGGTCTTACCGACAAACAGCTTTGGGGGCCCGTGCATGGAAGCGTCCTAATGTAGCGCGTTCGCTCTCGTTCGATGGGCCGAAGAAATTAGTACCTCTCAAGGAGAAGATCGCACGCCTCTACTTTCATGCGGACTTCCAGCCTACAAGTCTATTTGATGATGGACGTCCTAAACCATATGTAGCTCAACGCCCTAACTTATACGTAGGGTTGTATGTGCCCTAAATACGGTTCTGACCAGCAATATGTACAGCTACCCTACTTATTCCCCCACTTATAACAACCCATGAACCTCCAAGCAACCTTTACACTGTAAACCCTCCTGCCTGTGCACCCACTGGAACGGGCCCTTTGATACACTCATCATTCTCCGGCGCCGGAAGTAGGCTTCCCTCGGAGCGGTTTAGGGTTTAGGGTTTAGGGTTTAGGGTTTAGGGTTTAGGGTTTAGGGTTTAGGGTTTAGGGTTTAGGGTTTAGGGTTTAGGGTTTAGGGTTTAGGGTTTAGGGTTTAGGGTTTAGGGGTATCGGGGTATCGGGGTATCGGGGCATTAGGGTTCAGGGCTTCGCTGAGTAGCTCGGACTGAGCTGTGCTTCAAGCTCGCTATGTATGAATAGGCTCAGCTCCCTTATCAAAAAGGTTCCGCAGTAAAAGTTATGCGAAAGAACCGAGGGCTTAGGTTCGGGCTAAGGCTTTGGAGACACACGTGTGTGTCGAGAGCGCGTACTTGCCCTACCTAAACCCTAAACCCTAAACCCTAAACCCGAAACCCTAAACCCTAAACCCTAAACCCTACGCAGTCTCTTAAAGCAACCTTGGGGCTCCAAATTCCCAAGTTCCCCACTTGGAGCCAGTGAGCTTTAGCCCTGAAGTCGTGAGGACTCAGAACTCGATAGTTGCCGGGAGAGGCTCGGGCTTTGGGGCGGATTCCGAAGCCCCAAACCACACTGTGACGTCCTAGACCCTGGAGGCAGCGATCTTCAAGAAGTCGCATGACATGTCGGGCTTGGCGCGCGTCTTTTACCCCCTTACGCCGTGAAGACCTCGCTCTGTGACCGAAGGGCACAGGGAATATGGAGAAGCAGGAACAGCAGATTGAGATCCATCGACGAAACCATTGCGCCATAGCTCACGAGGTCGCCGCGGTAAAGGAGGTACTTCAGACGACCAGTTCAGTGGGAGGTCGAGACTTGCCCCGCTTACCCTGATCATGGCGACGAAACTTCTGACGTGCCCCGTAAGCGAGGCGCACTCCGAGGGTTGAGAAGCTCTCGAAACCATGGTCCCTTTTCGGGTGCCCTAACTACAAGGCTCTGTTTTCATAAGAGCCCCGAAAGGTACCCAGAATTTAGAGAAACCCCCCCCCCCTATTGGACTTATCCAGTCGGCGGAGGCTATGTTTGTAGTAAAGATTTCGATCCGTCCGCTTCTTTAGCAGCTGGTTTGCCCTGCCGCCGATTCAGCAACTGCCTCATGGAATCTTGCAGCCTCTGCTTTTCCTTGCGAACCAGGGCATTGAGGTAGGCACGCAAATGCCCGGGGCAAAAAAAAGTGTCGAAGACTTCACTGCCAGCAACGTCATCAAGGACCACCTGCTTCGGCCTGCCACATTGATGGCGTGCAGGCCAGCACAGCCTGTTGGGACCCGGGCGAGATTTAGTCGGTCAAGTTCTGCTTCTCCTGTTCTCACTGAAGGGAAGGATCAGTCTGATGGAACGTCTTGCGAGAATTCATCTTCCGTCCTGTGCACTGGAACTCTTCAGCCAGTCCAACGCGAGCTGGAGCGTCACGGCAGATGGAAGGAACATGCTGCCAGATCGAAGCATCTCCATCGCACCGTTTTCATCCACACCTGCACTGAAGATAGGAACAGGGAATATCCTGCAACTAAGTCGGGCGGCTAGCCCAAAAAAAATGCAAAAAAACATTCTGCAAATTGCTACGAGTCCCCTGATGCTTGCCCCGATGTTGTCTGAAAATTAAAGACTAGAGTTTGGACGGCGGATGCCGCTGAGGACAGCACTGACAACCCGGATGCCAGATTCCTCGATCTCAGGAGTACCTATACTCCCCTTAGAACCTCAATAAAAAAAAAGTATTTCTAATATACTCTTGGTTTTAATATCAACAAAAATAAAAAATATTGATAATATACTCTTGGGTTTAATTAAAACAAAAATTAAAGAAAAACAATTTCCAAGGAAGATGGAGGAGTACCACTTCTTGGGGTCGACTCTGGCTGCAGCGCCAGGAAAGGCAGGAAGCGGTTCCTGGACCACTTCACCTAGCCGCGGAGGGCAGAATCTTTGGGGGGTTTAGGGTTTACGGTTTAGGGTTTAGGGTTTAGGGTTTAGGGTTTAGGGTTTAGGGTTTCGGGTTTCGAGGGTTCAGGATTCAGGGCTTAAGGGGGTTGAGGCCTATAGGGCCTGGAATCCCCAAAGCCTTGCAGGCCTAGAGTGAAAGTCGCGAGACGCGGTATAACTACGGGCACCTTAAACCCCAAAAGAGCCCTGAAGCAACAAAAACTAGACGGCTGGACAAGCATCGAAACTTGCTGGTGCGTAAGAGGGTGCGGAGGAGTGAAGATAGGTACAGCAAGCCCCAACTAAATCGTATCTACACTCCCGAGACCCGAAAGCGTCGTCCATCCAGACACGCAAGGTCGAAACCTAAAGACCCCAACCTCAACCTACTGGTAGCAACCCTGTCGGTACTGAAGTCCGGGAGTCCGATAGCCCCGGCATCCGAATATCCTGCGCCGAATCCCCCCTACTTGGAGGTTCATGGGTAGCTATAAGTGGCGTTATAAGCTTTAAGTAGGGTATCTCTTAGTCTAACTGGATATATCCTTATGTAGGGTACTCATCACCCTTCTTCTAAGTGCCCTAAGCGAAACCTCAAAGTAAACTAGACCCCTGAATGCCTTGCCTCAAGGATGCCCGGATGGCCAGCGGGGAGCAGTGCCTGAACGTCCGAGAGGGGGGCCGCAAGCTTCGCCTGACGGGGAGCCTACGGTTTGGGGTTTAGGGTTTAGGGTTTCATGGGTAGTTCTAAGTAGGGTGATAAGATAAGTACCCTACATAAGGTTATATAGCCAGCTCTACTGAGAGATGCCCTACTTACAGTATAGACCCACTTCTAACTACCCGTGAACCTCCAAGTAGGAAGGGTCGCAGGGTTCAGTTGCCGCTGAATGTCTGGGTTGGAACAGGGAGGCATTCAGGAGCTTCCAAAAGCACGCCGAAGCCTCTCAACTGCTCCAAACCCTACACCCTAAACCCTAGACCCTAGAACCTAAACCCGAAACCCCAAACCCGAAACCCCAAACCCGAAACCCGAAACCCGAAACCCTAAACCCTAAACCCTAAACCCTAAATCCTCCACCTCCTCCAGAAGCTCACGTCGGGCTGCCCTTGCAGGCGTCTCACCATGATCGATACCGCCGGTCGGGAAGCCGAAATGCCTGACCAGCACCCTCCCTTTGGGGTTTAGGGTTTAGGGTTTAGGGTTTAGGGTTTAGGTGAGTCGGGAATGAGGGAATGAGGTACCCTATATCCCCCTATACTAGGCTGCCCAGTAACCTAGGCTTAAAAAGGGTAACCTTTTTTTGCTTAAAGGGGTTTATAAGGGAACCTAAACCCCCAAAAAAGGGAATAAGGGAACTACTGGGCATCCTAGTATATATACCTTTTAAGGGATGCTCATTCCCTCATTCCCTACCAGCCAACAGCAAGTCTTTGTTGCTCAGATGCTTGAGGTTGGGGGAGACCGAAGTAGGCACTTCCCACGGGGACCTGAACAACAGGGTTCGGATTGATGGGTGGCTTCTCATGTAGTCAGTAGTCACGCCAAGTAGTGTCCACTTGGCAAGAAAGGAGCTGTAGAGAGTTAGTGCGATAAAACACCGCCATACGCCTGTGCCTTAAATCCCACATCCGCAGGCCCCCCAAAAAAAAAAAACAAATGTAAGAAAATACTCCCTATACTGCCCTTGTAAGGAAGACTATCTTTTAAATTGTTTGGGGGGTTCTGATAAGCCGTAAGCCAATCGTAGCAGAAACCTAAACCCTAAACCCTAAACCCTAAACCCTAAACCCTAAACCCTAAACCCTAAACCCTAAACCCTGAACCCTGAACCCTAAACCAACGGCTCAGTCCCGCCAAGCCAACCAAAGCCAGGCCTCTGGCCCGAGCCAGCTGCAAATTCCTCCACAAAGGTGAACATCCTGAAGCATGGGGTTTAGGGTTTAGGGTGTTTAGGGTTTAGGGTTTTTAGGATTTTTAGGGTTTTTAGGGTTTTTAGGATTTTTAGGGAGTTTAGGGTTTTTAGGGATTTTAGGGTTTTTAGGGTTTAGGGTTTTTAGGGTTTAGGGTTTAGGGTTTAGGGTTCTATCGACCTTGCGATCTTATAGGTTCGTGTGGGACAGCGAGGTGGGGGCACAGCGGCAAGGCAACAGTCGGAAGCTCGGAAGACATGTGAAGGTCTCTATGAGACAATAACGTACTGGCACATACGGGTACAAGAGTGTTCTTCCAAGACCTGAACTCGAATAACCCAGATTCGGATCCCTCGCAAGGAGTCGTGTCTTGCAAGGGCTTAGGGTTTAGGGTTTAGGGTTCAGGGTTTAGGGTTTAGAGGGTTTAGAGTTCAGGGTTTCGGCTTACGAGTCTCTTCCGTGGAGAACGCGAACAGAAACCCCGAGAAACTTGAACCGTGCAACTCGACAACTCGGCCCCCCCCCTGAAACTCTAAAGCGCGCACCGCCCTTAAACCCTAAACCCTAAACCCTAAACCCTAAACCCTAAACCCTAAACCCTAAACCCTAAACCCTAAACCCTAAACCCTAAACCCTAAACCCTAAACCCTAAACCCCCATATGCCTCAACTCACAGACCCCCAAACCCCAACGCCCTTGAACCCTGAAAGCCGAACTGCGAATGCTGGGCTGCCTGTGACTTCCGTGCCCACGCACAGCGCACACAACCACGAAGCTGAACAAGAGGGTTTAGGGTTTAGGGTTTAGGGTTTAGGGTTTAGGGTTTAGGGTTTAGGGTTTAGGGTTTAGGGTTTAGGGTTTGACCGCGAAGCTGAAGAAGAGGTCCCAGATTGGGGATTTGGACGAGATTCAGGCTGTAAGGTTTGAGGGTTTCGGGACTTCAGAAGCTTCGAGGCTTCAGGGGGCTTCAGGCTTTGAGGCTTCAGCATTTTGCGGAAAACCCTAAACCCCAAACCCTAAACCCTGAACCCTGAACCCTAAACCCTAAACCCGGATCTAGGGGCTTTGAGGGCTTTGCGGGGTGAGAGATGGTTGATGTGTCGGGAGCTTAAAGGGAGCTCTGGGTGCCTCTTGTAGTCCGCACAGCTTTTGTGGCTTACTTGGAGGTTCAAGGTACTTAGTAAGCCATTATAAGTGCAGTATAACCCTAAACCCTAAACCCTAAACCGTAAACCCTAGTGCAGTCATAACCCACATATTAGCCCCTTAAGTACCCTGATAGGGTTCTAGTTGGTTTACTTTACGGCTATAGTCTCAAGGTACCACTGTGTCCATGCCGTCACAATGGCAATATCTCGAAACAATGATGATGCAAGTCGCACGCAGACGTCCTACATAGCAGAGATAAAATACCTTACCCACAAGAATGCATTGTATTCTCCAATGGTACTGCCTGGATAATTACATCATATTGGGCACACCCACAACCCACACCCACACTCCCGCACCCGCACCCACACCCTCACCCGCACCCGCACCCACGCATACGCGCGAGCGCATGCGATCATCCATAAGCCAGACAGAATGTACGTGCTGATGCGTCTGGGGTTTAAGGTTAGCAGCGAGAACCCTGAACCATCAACCAAGGGCACGTGAAGTTCTCCAGAGAGGGATGGCCAATGACATCGAAGCTCACCTCCTGCTTGCCAGAGGGACCTGGCACCACATCTGCTTCTACACCTAGCCTACTTTTTGCAAGTAATCTCCTGTGTCCAAAGCATCTTAGTTGTCCAGTAACCTGGGGGAATTAAAGGTTAACCTTTGGGATTAGAAGGGGATTATACTACCCCAAAAAGGTTAAAAGGTTACCTACTCTACTACTAAGGCATAGAACGGTGAACAGCCAGTGGGAACGGGTGTCTGGCAACAACAGCCGGTCCCCTGCCTTGGATGCTGTATTGCCGGTCATAGACTGCGAGATACCGATGGTACACCATGCTCTCCTTACTGTTGGTAAGTAGGGAGTGAGGGAATGAGGTACCCGCTATCCCCCCTAAGGCTTTAAGGGTTTCTCTGAGGTACCTTATTCCCTCAACCCTAAACCCCAAACCCTAAACCCTATTAACCAACACTAAGTCTCGCTAAGGAGGGTCGCTGCGCCCGGCTTCGCTTGGAGCTGCCAAGCCAGCAGGGCTGAGACAGCCATCCTCAGCTGCGTGGTTTAGGGTTTAGGGTTTAGGGTTTAGGGTTTGGGGTTTAGGGTTTGGGGTTTGGGGTTTCGGATTCTTAGTTGTCCAGTAAACTGGGGGAATTAGAGGTTAACCTTTGGGATTATAAGGGGATTATATTACCCCAAAAAGGTTAAAGGTTGCCCTACTCTGGGCTGGACTCAGCTATAAATGAAATGTTTAGCTGACATATTAAGAAACCCAATAAACCCAAAAAGGCTAAGGATCTAAAGTGTCAATAAAGCACCACAAAGGAATTGAGGTGGAATATTGGGGGGCCCTTTGTAACTAGAAAGGGTAGATTGGGCGGCTTATGAATTTTGAAGCATTGTGATGATGTCGCGTTTTTTACCATACGTCGGGGAGAATATTGGTAGCTTTTTTTGGCTGCTGTCTATTGAGTCTATTATATTAGAAGCATCATGTGTCAGCAGGGGCGGAGACTTGGATGAAAAAAACAAGGCTGACATGGGAGTTTACGAAAATAGGGGACCCCTAATCTAGACCCCCAAATAGTAGGATCCCCTAATATGACAAGGACCCCCCCCCTCCCTTTCGGTACCCCCGATTCTCGTAGAAACCCTAAACCCTAAACCCTAAATCCCCCACGTTCCATGCAAGGCTCGCAACCAGACCTGGGATTAGCCATGCTCCCGAGGCCTCCAACATGCGCCCGACGTCCGCGGACTCGTAGACTTAGCACACCCTAAGGGTCCATGTACCTACTAGGGTAGATACTTGGGCCCTAAAGGGACTATACAGAAACGCCCTTTAAGGCCCTGGTGTATATACGACAATGGCTACATGGACCCCTTGGGACAGGAAAACTGCAGTTTAGGGTTTAGGGTTTAGGGTTTAGGGTCTAGGGTTTAGGGCTTAGGGGCTTCTACAGATACTTGCAAAAAAGCTTGAGCAATGCAGCTGCGTTGATGTGCTATTGATGGGCGCAGGACTGAGAGGCGTCGTCTGGGCAAACTGTAAAGACGGCTTGAAGACGATCCGCCGCCTATAACAGCATAATAAGGGTCCCTTTATCATTTAAGGTATATTCCTTAATTAAGGGGTATTGGCCTCTCTGGGTACCTATACAATTTGATTAATACCCCAAAAACACACAAAACAATCCCTGTATTGCCCTTGTAAGGAAGATTGTTCTGTTCTTTTGTTTGTTTTTTTTTGGGGGGAGGGGGGCTTCTTGAGCAAGTAGTAGAGACTCTCCACCCAAGGTCCGCATGGCATCTCAGCAGAAAGACGTGCCTAAAAATGGTGGCAAGCAGCATCTGCGGCAAGGATGAAGTTGCGGGAGTTGCTCTTGTTCTTGCCTCCCATGGCACAGCTGAGTCGGGGCAACACGGTCGGGCGCGGAAACACGCGCCCCAGACACTCAACTCCACAAGCGCGCAGTGCCAGTGGGCCTTTCCCTCCTTTTCCTTGGCCCTTCCGACCATCCTGGTACAATCACGGCTCAAAGCACAGGCTTGCTACTACTAGCACCAGGCATTTGCAGGTTCATGGGTAGGTGTAAGTGGGCTTGAATAGGTAGGGTAACTCTTATTATGACTGGCACTGGTTACTTCTAACCCTACTTCTAGCTACCCATGAACCTTCGAGTAGGCACACCCCTCACAGCAACCGGGGAGCCTATACCACGAGCCTATACGACCTCTCCCTGTCTCTTCCTCCTCTTCCCACAAGGGCTGTTCACTTGTCCGGGCCCAAGCCCAAGCTCCGCCATGCGTGTGACAGGCAATGTGACAACCGATGTGACAACCGATGTGCTCACCCTGTCTCTCTCTCCCTCTCTCCCTCCCTCCCTCTCT